ATATATTCCTTCCCGCCAAATATGTATTGACGAAGATTAACGACAATATCTAGAGGATCTTTATCCAATCATTGTGGTTCGGAAAATATTGCGCATGCGCATTGTGTCTGACTCGCACATTGTTTGGTTTGGTCATGAAACTTGTTGGTTTATTGAACTTGTTGGTAACTTTTTTTCAAGTATGCTTTTTATTTGTTGGGTGTAATATTGGTCTATTTCCTTTTTTGAATAAATGCTGCAAACCATCCGATAGTTGCGAAAGTACATCGCATCGGATTTTGTCAGGTATGTGATTGACGTGACGGAACATCTCTGAGTCTGAGGCCATTCCAAAATTATTTTTAAGTAAAAGGGGCGTTAAAACGGAGATGCTTTAGTTTAATTTGAAAAAGGTGGTTTTTTACAATGAGTAATGTAAACTACGCTGTGAACTTGGGATCGTAAAAATGGCCAAATGACATCCCTTTTTAATGGAGGCTAGATGACTTGTTTTGTTAGATATTTTGCTAAATTTTGGATATCAACATGAGCGAGCGTTAACTTGTCATTTAACCTACCAACCGTGTGTTTCTTAAGACGAAGAAGCGAACTCGTAAAGAATAAGAATAAGAATGATTATGCATTTTTTCTTGGTTAATGGAGTTTTAGGCCTAGCTGCCGCATATTTTTCTTAGAGTTAAGAGAGGGCCTATTCGTATCACGTTGACTCTGACAGCGAGTTGGCTATTTTTGAACGGAAAATTCACTTTATAACACGCGTTGCGTTGAGTGTTCCATATCCGCGTGTTGTTCAATGGGCCTAAGCACATTTCAATCACCCCGTTACAGATAGGTTTATAGGGCTTAGAATAAAAAAAAAAAAATAAGCATAAAAAACGTCGGTCTATTAGATCTTTTTTTTATTTGCCTGTCAATCAGCGCCAATCTAATTAAATGTATGGAGTCATAGAAACAATAACATCAATGAATCCACAGCTGGTATAAAACTGACATCAAACAAAAATCACTGGCCTGCCTGACGAAAACACCTGTTTAATCCTTTGATTTCTTCGAGACTGAGGGAAAATGGTGCCATACCTTCTAATTGTAAAACTGTTAGGCCATGTTTGTGGTTTGTTCTTGAGGAATAACTTTGCGATTTAAGAATGGTTATGGTAGGTCTTCCTGTGATAACTCCGTTAAGTAAATGATCGCTATTTTTATTTCATTAATTGATTTGTTGTCACCACGTTTATATTTGGAAAATCTCTTTTGTGCTCGCCGGCAACGGCAATTAAATGTCAAATGTTTTAGGCCCAACTACTAATTCAATAGTTGTGAAAGAACATCTACTAGTAGGGCTTATTCATGTGTAGTACTATCCTTGCCATTTCCGCTGAAGCTAGTATTTTACACAGGAAAAGTTGATAAGTGAAAGAAAGACTAGAAAACGACTAGTTATTTGGACACGTACTGCTAGATATAAGCTTATATATTTTACCTTCAGATCATGAATGCAATTTTCTGGTGGGGCTGCCGAAAAATGTGAAATGGCCCGTGAAAGCTGTCACTTGGATTGATCCAAATGAAGCACAAGTCTACTGTAAATCAGATGATGCTTAGTAAGTATTAAATCTTCTTTACTTTTGATATCAGTCTAATTCTAACAACCAGTGACACACATGACAATGATATTTTGTCTACCAAAGAAAGATGGACACTACACCCAACAAGTCTGGAGACTATACCCAATTAGTCTGGACACTACACCGAAGTAGTTTGGGCATATCATTTAAATATCTCTATCCTTTTCTTTAATGAATACAATATTTTGTCTACCAAAGAAAAATGGACACTACACCCAATTAGTCGGGACACTACACCCAATTAGTTTGGACATACCATTTAAATATCTCTATCCTTTTCTTAAACGAATACAATATTTGTCTACCAAAGAAAGATGGACGCTACACCCAATTAGTCTGGACACTACACCCAATTAGTCTGGACTCTACGTCTAAACCCAATTAGTTTGGACATACCATTTAAATATTTCTATTCTTTTCTTCAATGAATACATTATGTTGTCTACCAAAGAAAGATGGACACTACACCCAATAAGTTTGGACACTACACCCAATTAGTTTGGACATACCATTTAAATATCTCTTTTCTTTTCTTTAATGAATACATTATTTTGTCTACCAAAGAAGGATGGACACTACACCCAATTAGTCTGGACACTACACCCAATTAGTTTAGACATACCATTTAAATATCTCTATCCTTTTCTTTAATGAATACAATATTTTGTCTACCAAAGAAAGATGGACACTACACCCAATTAGTCTGGACACTACACCCAATTAGTTTGGACATACCATTTAAATATCTCTATTCTTTTCTTCACTGTATGTATTATTTAGTCTACCAAAGAAGGAAGGACACTAAAACCAAATTAGTCTAGACACAACACCCAATAAGTTTGGACACTACACCCAATTAGTTTGGACATACCAATTAAATATCTCTTATCTTTTCTTTAATGAATACAATATTTTGTCTACCAAAAAAAGATGGACACTACACCCAATTAGTTTGGACATACCATTTAAATATCTCTATTCTTTTCTTCAATGAATACATTATTTTGTCTACCAAAGAAAGATGGACACTACACCCAATTAGTCTGGACACTACACCCAATAAGTTTGGACACTACACCCAATTAGTTTGGACATACCAATTAAATATCTCTTTTCTTTTCTTTAATGAATACATTATTTTGTCTACCAAAGAAGGATGGACACTACACCCAATCAGTCGGGACACTACACCCAATTAGTCTGGACACTACACCCAATTAGTTTGGACATACCATTTAAATATCTCTATCCTTTTCTTTAATGAATACAACGTTTTGTCTACCAAAGAAAGATGGACACTACACCCAATTAGTTTGGACATACCATTTAAATATCTCTATTCTTTTATTTAATGAATACATTATTTTGTCTACCAAAGAAGGGTGGACACTACACCAAATTAGTTTGGACATACCATTTAAATATCTCTTTTCTTTTCTTTAATGAATACATTATTTTGTCTACCAAAGAAAGATGGACACTACACCCAATTAGTCTGGACACTACACCCAACAAGTCTAGACACTACACCAAATTAGTTTGGACATACCATTTAAATATCTCTTTTCTTTAATGAATACAATATTTTGTCTACCAAAGAAGGATGGACACTACACCCACTTAGTCTGGACACTACACCCAATTAGTTTGGACATACCATTTAAATATCTACTTTCTATTCTTTAATGACATAATAACTTTGGGTTTATCTAGCCAGTCATTCTTCACACCACACCAAATAACTCGGATGAAATAAAATAATGACAATGAAACAAATATAAAGTGTAGGCAGTCTTTATGTATTTATGCCTATCCATTAAAATTGTCCAAAAATTTCAAATTTACAAACCAATCAAATTTATGTGTGACAAACAGACAAAATGATGGAAGTTTGCTTGACAATGCTTTTTTAACTTGAGTATTTTGGATTGTTTTAATATTTGAAATGTATCTAGTATTTGAAAACTGTTCTCATTATCAATTCAGAGAGGTGCTTTGTTTCACACTGAGATGGATATATATTGTTCCCTAACATTAAAAAATATTCAAGAAGTACAAATTCCATGCTTGATTTTCAATGACTTTTTGTCACTTAGTGTTGTTGCTTGTTTTTGTTTAGAGATGCATATTACTCTTACTATTGAAGGAAGTCATGCTTCACAGGTATTCTATTTGTCTGGGAGGGGATGCTATGTATATTTTTGCAGTAAAATATTAAGAATCTAGATGGTGATAGACAGGGTATTAAGAATCTAGATGGTGATAGACAGGGTATTAAGAATGGAGATGGTGATAGACAGGGTGCTAAACATCAAGATGGTGAAGAAATGAGTATTGTAACTGTAGATAGTGATAGACAGGGTGCTCAGAATCTAGATGGTGAAGAATTGAGTATTGTAACTGTAGGTGGTGATAGACAGGGTGCTAAAATCAAGATGGTGAAGAATTGAGTATTGTAACTCTAGGTGGTGATAGACAGGGTGCTAAACATCAAGATGGTGAAGAAATGAGTATTGTAACTGTAGATGGTGATAGACAGGGTGCTCAGAATCAAGATGGTGAAGAATTGAGTATTGCAACTCTAGATGGTGATAGACATGGTGCTCAGAATCTAGATGGTGAAGAATTGAGTATTTTAACTCTAGATGGTGATAGACAGGGTATTAAGAATCAAGATGGTGAAGAATTGAGAATTGTTACTCTAGATGGTGATATACAGGGTATTAAGAATCTAGATGATGATAGACATTGAGAATTGTTACTCTAGATGGTGATATACAGGGTATTAAGAATCTAGATGATGATAGACAGGGTATTAAGAATCTAGATGATGATAGACAGGGTATTAAGAATCTAGATGGTGAAAAGACAGGGTATAAAGAATCTAGATGGTGATAGACAGGGTGCTAAACATCAAGATGGTGAAGAATTGAGTATTATATCTATAGATGTTGATAGACAGGATGATAAACATCAAGATGATGAAGAGTTGAGTATTGTAACTGTAGTTAGTCATAGACATGGTGCTCAGAATCAAGATGGTGAAGAATTGAGTATTATAACTGTAGATGGTGATAGACATGGTATTAAGAATCTAGATGGTGATAGACAGGGTATTAAGAATCTAGATGGTGAAGAATTGAGTACCGGTATTGTAACTGTAGATGGTGATAGACAGGGTATTAAGAATCTAGATGGTGATAGACAGGGTATTAAGAATCTAGATGGTGATAGACAGGGTATTAAGAATCTAGATGGTGATAGACAGGGTGCTAAACATCAAGATGGTGAAGAATTGAGTTTTGTAACTTTAGATGGTAATAGACAGGGTGCTAAACATCAAGATGGTGAAGAATTGGGTATTGTAACTCTAGGTGGTGATAGACAGGGTGCTAAACATCAAGATGGTGAAGAATTGGGTATTGTAACTGTAGATGGTGATAGACAAGGTATTAAGAATCTAGATGGTGGTAAAGCGAGTATTATAGAAATAAGTAACAGTGAAGAAGACCAGGAAATGGAATGGTGTCCACCAAGCAATGAAAGCGAGGGGGATAGTGAAGAATTTCTATATTAAAATGAAACTGTTGTAAAAAACAAAACAAATGGTAAAAAAAGGGAACGCCAAGACATAAAAACAGGTGTTGTGGACTCCACTGATGATGAAAACGATAAAGATACTGAAATACTAAAAAGAAAAAAAGAGCATTCCTTGAATAGCAGTGAAGTAGTAACCAACATATCCAAACATTTAAAGAAACATGTAAAGGCACAAAAGGAACTTTGGGATGTCCAAACTTTGGGATCAAAACTTGGTAAACGACACAAAACAGTAAGACCTCATTAGAAATAAAGGTGACAATGATCACAATTTAAGAGTTATTGAAAATGGAAGCGGAGAGATAATTATAGGAAGAAGACCATCAGGAAACCTTGATATAAGCAAATATGGTCCTTGTCCAAACTGCTCAGTTTGGATACAGATGGATAAAACCTTGTTCAGACATCAGTCTTTGTGTCCTGGCCGCCAAAATAGCCGGGGTCTTTGAGGGAACTGAGAATAGCAAGCCTTGTGAAAAGTGGAAGGATGAATCAAACGGCAAGCAAGGCTTTGAAAGATGAAGTATATTCAATAATGACTCCAGATAAAATTGGTGAGGTTGCTATAAATGACACCTTAATCATAATGCTAGGCAATATGTGGATGACAAAGAACATAAGCAACAAACTTAAAAGGAATATTACACCTCTAGCAGAATGAGGGACGCAGCATGCCTACTGATAAATTTGAAGGAGGAAAGTGGTGAGGATAGCCTTCCCATGTATGACTTTTTGGCACCGGAATACTTTGACACTATTGTCAAAGCAGCCTTAAAAACAGCTTCACCAAACTTCGATGATTCTGAAGATCTTAAATCACCAAGCATTTCTTTAAAATTAGGTTATGATATTTTAATATCACTTGGCACTGGTCATGCGTTTAAAAACGACAAAATTTTGAGAACTGACTGGAATTTACACCCTTAAATGGTGCCCTTGTTTTATAGTACAAAAATTACAATTGATATAAGAAAACTTTGGAAAAAAGCTTGCTGTGGCAACCAATAGCACAAGTGCATGAATGAGATCAGAGATCATGTTTCATTTATTTTGACATCACAGTATTGTAGTATTTACAGAAAACTAACACTATGACATCATTTCAGTATGGACGCGGAGTGCCTGTTATTATACCGAGAGATTGTAGAGAACTATTGAAATTTCTAGCAAATGAGATGGTGCGACAAGAAGCAGGAGGGCTGACAATCCTTATCTCTTTGCAAACTCTAGTGTGTTATTGAGTTTATTGCAACACAAGTAGATCATGGCAATTCCCCAGTGGAATGTCAACTTGCTGGGTGATTGTTGGTCCTCCTTCACCTGTAATAAGTTTAACATTGCTATCTGACAATAACAACAACAAATGCCAGATAAGGTTTTTTGATTCATTTCAGATGTGGGTGTTCTCCGTTCATATGACAGTCTTAAGTGTTTGTGCAATGAGATGGACCTCGTGATGGAGATCACTTCTGTAAATTTGAGAAAATTTACGGCTACAATTTCCCAGGTATGATTTTTTAAGATTAATACATAGATTGAATTTCAACAAAGTAATCATTGTAACCGTTCAGAAATAATGAAAAAAGAAGCACTTAGACAACTGAATGTATGGCACCATTAAAACTAGTGTTATAAGTTTCTAGTATTTGCAGTAAACAGCGATGTAGGTAAAAGGGGCTGACATAGAAAAAACATCTAGTGGTTCAGATAGGACTATGGCAAGATTTCCTTCGTTGCCTGTCTTCATTAGCCCACATGGTACAGAAAAAGACGTAAAAAACTCCAATTATTTCATTATTGCATTTGCAGTAAAAATTGTATTGGTATTTTCAAGTTGACAATTTAATTGTTTATATAACCTACAGGTTTTGGACTTATCTGAACAAGAACAATCCTGGTTTGTCAACCACTAAGGCCACAGCTTGGATATCCATAAGATTCATTACCGACAGACAGCAGGTACAATACAACGTGTAGACATTGCAAAGATTATGCTACTGCAAGAGTTTAACCTCATAGCCAGGTATGCTGGTAAACAACTTAAGGATATTGATCTAAAAGGTAAATGAAGTTCTTATATTACAAGTAAAAAAACATCCAATATATGCCACACTGCTGGGGTTGAACCCACTTGACTGAAGAAGACAGCGATGGCAATGTGGTTTTGGCTGACGTAGATGGCAAGGAACAAGATATTCTATGTTTGTTTTATATTTCCCCATATCAGTATGATTCAGTCTGATCATAAGAAAGAAAGGTATTTATATTGGCATTGCAAAATTTCTGAAATATGGGAATTTTTGTTCTTGTACATTAAAACCATTATTGAAATTAGGTTATAACATGTTCCAAACAGGTCAGACAAACAGTATTTTTATTTCTATACATTATTTTCCAACATAAGATTACCGCCCACATTGAAGGTTCATAACACTAAATGTATTTTAGGACATGTATGCCTTTGACAACAAATGCCAGTAAAAGAGGTGTTTAAATTTAGGAAAATATTTTTTTTAGGTGTCTCTGATGGTTGTATGGATGATGATGGATACATTCCGCCAATCGAGAAAGGTAATTATTATTACAGATTGTAGAAAGAACTTGTAATATCATTTATAACATGGTTAGAGCTAATTAGAGATTGCAGTCTTTGCTCTTATATTTTTAGAGATGTTCATGTTTTCCATTTAGCATGGAATGTTACTAAGTTCTGAAAGTATGTGGAGCAGAAAATTTTAGAATACATTTACTTTGATGAAGAAAATTATAACAATATGGAGCTGTGTCTACTGACGTTGATTCATTATATTTGATGATTTATTGAGAATGTATATTTGATCGACAATCGAAAATGATTGAGTCATGACAATTTTGGTGTGTACATTTTTTGGAGGAAGCGTCTTTTTTTTTCTGTAAGCCCTTTCTCTAGTAATGTTCAAATTGCAATAATAATGATTTGTCACAAGAGGCTTTAGTTAACAATATAGTAGCGTTAGAGACATTCATCTTATCTCCTCATGATTGTGTTTATTTTTTAGTCGAGGAACTTGACAATTTTGATTTTCATGATGAGGAGGATGCCTCAGTCGCAAAGGCAAGAAAAAAAAAACACGTACGTTATTTTGTCATTTTGAAGCTGCTCAGTATACTTAAAAGGATTGTTTTACTTTTTTAGCCTTGTGTGTATCAGGGACACTTTTGGGTTTGAATTTGCAAAAAATAAATTCTTCATCCAATGCCTGTGGTTCCTGCAATTCCAGAAAGAGTTCAATGATGCAGCTCCAGAAAGATTTGCTTTCAGCATTTTGTAAACAAAAATATGCTTAATCATTCACAGTTTGCTTCATTGTTGCCTTAAATAACCCTTGACTACAACTTACATTTTTTCATTTTTAACAGAAAGGAAGAGTTGTATCCCATTTGTGCATATCAGAATGTTGAACTTCCTTATTAATAATAAAATGATAAGTTCAAAAAAATTTTTGAATCAATAGTTCAATAACTGAAAAGCAACTTGAGTAATTTGATTTACCAAATGTTTGCCTTACTGTTCAAAACTTATCATTTATTAGGATATTCAGCATTCTGATTTGCACAAATTTGATACAACACTTTGTTTCCCTTAAAACTGAGCAATATAAGTCGTTAAGAGTTATTTAAGGCAATAAGAATAAATCTGCAGAACTTTAGATAGAAAAGCAGCCAATTGGTATTGGAATATGACATACATCAAAACGTGATCTAGTCATGTGGTAAAAATGGTTATTAATTCTCATGTCTGATTAACTCTTTCTGGAACCACAGGCGTTGGGCAAGGAATTAGAATGTGACAAATAGAAGCCAAAGGGTGACCCCCATATCAGGCTAGAAATCTCTTAACAATCCCTTAGAAGTTTTCATCATTCCAAATTCTGTCTAGTGCATATTTTTTGGACATGACTTTCTGTAGGATGTCAAGTTGTGGAAGTTGCTGTTCTGTCTTTTAAAGTGTTGTACAAGCTTTGAAATATCATCTATTTGAGGATTTGATTAAGAATAATTTTAGCTTTCTTGT